AAAATGGAGTACTACTCAGCCATAAAGAATGAGAAACTAGAGACATTTATAGCTAAGTGGATGCACATTGAGGCCATCCTCTTAAGTGAAATAAATAGGACACACATGTGTAAATACCAAATAGTTTCTCTGGTGTGAGAAACTGAAAGTGCAAATAAGGATTAAAATAGTTAAAACAAATAACTGATGATTTGAAATAGGAAGAAAATGTTTACAGGAATAGGGGGAGTGGGACAGAAGGGGAAAGGAAAGTAGGGAAAGGAAAAAACATGAGAAAAGGAAAAACATGGAAACAAAGCCTATGTAAATAGGGAAGGGTGGAGGGGGTGAAGGGCGCACAGGGAATGGGGAAAAAAATAAGAACCGAGATACATCGCGTACAGGTACAAGATCCCAATGATAAATGTAAACATATTGTATACCTAAAATGTATCAGTAAAAGAATTTAAGCAAAAAAAAAAAAAAATGTACATGCCAAAGTGTTTGTGGATGAAAGGAAATTATGCCTGGAACTTGCCTCAGAGCAGCTCGAAAGGGCTGTGGAGAGGGACAGAAAGCAAATGGCCCAGGAAGGCATTAACTGCGGGAGCGGCCTGAGTTCGAGTTACTGCCCGGTCCATGTTTGTTTAAAATTTCCAGCAAAAGAAGTCCCCACAAAGAGACAAGAAGGAAGAAGGAGATTCGCATCCTAGATGCATAAACACGCTTGAAAAGGTCTCATCCAACCGCAGATGACGTCCCTTACAGAACAAGGGGACCAGAAGCCCAGCAGCTGTGCCCCCAGCCCCTCAGGCCCATCTGAGCCAGCAGAGGGGGCCACGTGGCTGAGGCTCATGTTCCCACCATCACCCAGACCCGCTGGGGTGAAGGAATGAGCCTGGGGCAGGCGCTGCAGGTGCTGTGTTCTCCTCCAATGTCCAGACCTCTCTATGCTGGGGGCCGACGCAGGGCTCACCCCTGAACTGCTTAATGGCAGTGATTTGTGAGGAAAATCAGCTCCTGCCGGGCTGCACTGAAGGAAGCATACTTGATGACAGTGAACAGAACCCAGTATGGGATGACAGTCATCATGGCCACATCCAGAAGAACTGACAGGCTGGGACACGTTCCGAAAGTCCCCTGGGGCCAAGGCGACAGAGGATTCCAGCAAAGACTTAAAAAATCATAACAAGTGTCACAGGACGTCCGGGTTTGTTTCAGCACTTGGACTTTACGCTCACGATGACCTGTAACATTCCGGAGGCACCGTCACCTAACTGTGAGAGTCCAGAGCAACAGGAAGCCTCCCGCCACGATCCACACCTCACACTGCAGCAGCACCTGGGCGTCGCCCACAGCCCGGTGTCAGGGGCCAGGGGCACAGCGCACTCCCCGCTGCTCACTTCCCAGCCTCGGAAGCCACCCCCAGCCCAAGACGCCCAGTCCCACCCAGCCCCAGGGCCCCGCACGGCTGCACTGTAGAAGGAATGTCCAGAAGTAAATAGAGCAGGACTGGGGACAGATCCACTGACATGACTATGGCCCTGGGCTGGCGCTAAGAAGGCCTGGTGCTTCTGGACCGTGTCCCCGACGGGACTCTGAATCACACAGGCTGGACGTGTGGCCACTGCGCCCGGCACCCTGTCCCCAAGGCTCCCCGTCCTCCTCACCCCTCCTCAGGGACAACCATGGGCCGAGGGCAGGCCACTCCACCCAGGACACCCCTCCGGCCTTCTTTAGGGACTTGCTGAAAAAACACCGGCTTTTTTAAACAGAAAAGTGAATCATAAGAATAAAGTGAGTTGACTCTACCAAGCAATCTACAGCAGCAATGTAAACGATGTCATGCACCGTACTTCTATGAATCCTTACTCCCCACTGTGATTTGGATACATGTAAAGTCCACTCTAAGTCGCCATTTATCATTCACAGATTCCAGCTTTCCTACCTAATGTCATATGAGAAATACAATAAAATGGCCTCGTTTTTCAAAATAATTATTGATCCAATAATCATGAATTAATGCACTCACAATACATGAAACTTACTGAACTACGTCCGCATCAGCCAGCAGAATATACCCTGAACATGAAGACAATGTGTTCTAGAATCATACTCTATACTTGCTATGATTTTCTTTTTCTTTTTACAGCACTGGGGGTTGAGCCCGGAGCCTTTGAACTGAGCTACATCCCCAGACCCCAGCTCTTTCTAACTTTTTAAGACACAGTCTCACTAAAGTCATTAAGCTGCCCAGTCTGAACTCAAACCTGTCATCCTCCCGCCTCAGCCTCCCAGAGTGCTGGGATTACAGATCTGCACCACCATGCCGGCCTTGCTACAGCTTTTAATGGGCAAGAGAACACTCCTGTTGTGTCCACACTAGGTTCACAGGGCCCACCCATCCCTGGAAACCTGGGCACAGAATGCGGATTCTCACGTTGCTGTCCACTCCTGAAGGGCTGCTGAACACGTACTCCAGCTGAAAGGTGATGGCAAAGGCAGGGTGACTGACCATCTCGGCGAGGCGCAGGCGGCTTCTCAAAACCAGAGCCTGATTTCCAGAGCTGGGTCAGAAACAGGTCAGGGCCCCTGAGGGCGTCAGCTCCTGCCCCGAACGTGCCCATGCCCACCACCCGCCCAGCACGTCCACCAGCCATGCTGCCGAGCGCGCAGGCCAGTCCCCAACCAGGGCTTCCTCTTCCCAAGTGTTGAAATCAACACCTTTCCAAACCGCCAGGGCCAGCCTGCAGGACGGGACGACACTGCGAAGAAGTGCCATGGAGGAGAAGTGGCTCTTCCTTGCGACGGGCTTCGGCCCGCATCACAGGACAGGAGGGCAGGCCACCCCAAGGCGCCGGGATTCGGGGTTTGGGAAGCACCGGATTAAAGGGAGCAGGGCTCTCTGCCTTTGGGATGCCACAGTCCCGGGGCACATCGGACTCCCCACGCAGGGGCTCCGCGGACCCTCAGCAGCCCCAGCCGGAAACATCCAAAATGCAAACTCATGGCTGCCAGGGCACACACAACACACGGGCTCCACCCAGTGTGCAGCCCAGAGCTCTGCACAGAAGCTCACAGCAGAGCATGAGGAGGGGCTTGTCTGGTGGAGGTAGGACAGCCTCGCCTCCCCATGGCCCTCGCACGTCCCACCGACCTCCACACGGGCCCCCGGGAGGGTACCTGGTTCTGGAAGAGGAGCTGACTTTCCTGCTGAAGCTGGCGGAGCGCGTCAAGGCCATGTCCATCTCGGGCATCAGCACCACCACCTGCGGCCTCTGCACGAAGCCCAGACCGTTGTGCACGCCCACGTGCAGGCGTCGCTCCAGGACCCCCAGGGGGCCACCGTCCAGCAGGCCACCTCCCTGCCAGGGCACAGGGTGGGCAGATGAGCCCTGCACCCCAGGGAAACGGGGTCTCCAAGGGCGCTCCGGGGGCAGGCATGCAGTGGGAAGGAGGCAAAGCGGAAGCCACGGGCATCTCCAGATGAGGTGATGCTTAGTATAAGGGGTCCAAGCCAAGGAGAGGTCATGGCCAGCGATGACCACCAGCTGCGGGACACTTCCTGGGGAATCCTGGCGTTTCCCACGCAGCACGGCCTTCTCCGTGCTGCACCAGGTACCGCCACTGCTGAGCCCGATCTGGGCCCCCGGGCTTGGGTGACAAGGCTCGGGTCTGCGGGTCTCAGGGCCACCTCCCCGGGGAGAGGCTGCAAGGAGGGGAGGCACCGAGGCAGAGCACGCTGCCTCTCAACCCCGGCACACAGACGGGACGTGAGGAAGGAGCGCGCAGGCGGCGCACGCCCAGGCAGTGAGTCGTAAAGCAACAAAAATGGAACCTGCCCCAGAGTGACGGCTGGGCACTGAAGCATTGCATCTTAACAGAGATGAACAGGCACGCTGACAGATGAGCAGGGACGCCCCTCCAGGGTATTAGGGTTTATTAAGTTATGTGATCTCTGCAAAATGATCTGAGTTTCACAGTGTTCTTCACTGTCCATTACTCAAGCTGAATGGACCGAGATTCAGCCTATTAGTTTTTGGATAATGAAAATAAAACTACAGAAATAACTGAGTATCCGCCAATTGGACAGTAACGAAAACACCAAGGCTGCTAAAATACATAATAAAGTTATTTTACGGGAATATGCAAAATTCAACAATGAGGCTCTTGGAATATCTCTGCCCTCACACAATCTGCTCTGAAAAATAAGAACACAGCAGGAAGTGCACAGGGAAATGGATGCTGCCACTTCAGTCCGGCTCTCCGCTCTGCTTGCTTTCCACCTAACCTGGTGCTATGCGGAGCCATGCCGTCAAGGAGGGGAGGGTGCAAACGGGGCCCTGGTCCATAAAGACATCATCAGTAACCTGGGGCCCACAGGTGGGGCCCGCCTGAACCGCTCAATCTCCTGACCACTAAACATCACAGCCCCGCCAGTGCAGACACCGCTGGTGCACACGACCCTGTGCAATGGACAAAATGGTCCCTGTCCCCGCAGTCCTAACACTCGGGAGAGGAGCCCAGGGGTCAGCCCTGCACAGAGAGGAAAGCTGAGTGCCCCCAGGCAGCACTAAACCAAAGGAGACGTGGTGCCAGTGTCACTGAAGAGGCCTGGTAGGGGCCGGGGAGAGCCCCCGGGACGTCACGTGTGCACGGGACCGGAAGCTGCGTGTGTCGCACACAGATCTACAGGAAGACCAGGAGAAAGCCCCGGGTCCCAAGGCCGAGACGGGCCAGCACCAGGGCATGGGGCGCGGTGGCCCAGGGAGCAGTCAGGGCCCCGCAGAGACCCAGGCCCACTGTCCCGCACACGGGGACCACAAGGACAGGGCTCCAGCCCAAGGGCCAGCAGAGGGTCTGAGACAAGGAGGTGAGCCTGCTGGACGTGTGCTCCGGGAGACCTGGCTGACTACGCAGAGGATGAGGCCACTCCCTGGGACTCCGGAGAGGAGCCAGCGGGCCCACACCTGTCAGAAGACATTCTCAGGCAGACAAGCAGCAAACTTCACCCACAGCCACCAACAGAGAGAACTGAACACCAGCCTCCAAGACCCGGGCCAGGACGAGGCACCCAGCGCCGGCCCCACTGGCTCTGCCCCACCCCAGGGCCACGCCAAGGGGGTGAGACCCGAGAGCTCCAGCCAAAGCCCCACATCAGTGACCGTCTGTCTGGTCCAGGTCACCCTCCAGCAGCAGCTGGGCTGGGTTGCCCAGAGGCAGAGGCCCAAGGGAGAAGCAGAAATGCACGGACATTCTCCAGCCTCTGCTGCACTGAATTTGCAACTGTCTCAAGCAAAGCCGCCAGGGGCAGAGGATTCACACCATGGGCAAAGGCTGTGGCCCCAGCAGGCACCAGAAGCCAGCCCGGATGACCTGCAGCTTCTGCAGACACCCATGAGGACTCCGTGCACCCTGCCTGGCTCTCCTCAGGAAGAGCCAGGATACGCACGCAGGCAGGGTGCCCTCAGCAGGCCACGGGGCCCCAGACTGCACACGGCCAAGAGCCCACCCACAGGAAGACAGACAGGTAAATGTTTTTCGGGCAAGAGAAGGGACGGGGTGCCCCTTCTCCCCACCAGGCCATCAGCCCGGAGCAGGAGGCCGGGCCGGGAGGGCGCGGCAGAGCCATGCATGGCACACACCATGTTCCTAGGCCACCCTGCCACGGGGCCTGCTCAGATGGCCACAGATGAGCCGTGCGCCCCAGAGAACTGACAGGAGTCAGCGGGGATCTGCTTGGACGTGGCATCTGACAGCCTGCAAGCCGATCACCGCCAGGACAGGCCCAGGAGGAGCCTCGGGCGTTCTGTGTGCGAGGTGAGCCCTACACATGGCATGGTGTGTGTGGTCCTCACTGGGGGCCGCTCCAACATCCCACCTAACGGGGTAAACTCCCGGCCTCCAGGGCTCGGGAATAAACCCACATCTTAGAATCGTCAGGGAGGTGGCCGATGTGCTCCCCGCCCGGGCTCTCTCGGGAGGAGACTCAGGATGGCGTCCACACCAAGGTGCAGCGTGGGGTGCCGGGCCAGGGAGCACCTCTCACAGAAACCACCTTGGAGGCAGGAGGGACAGGGCAGCGGCTCCGGACACTCCCGACGTGAGCCACATCCCCAAAGTGTCCTCTGTAGATGTGCCTTATGGGTTTCTCCAAGCCCACTTGATGACATAATTTCCTTTTTTTTTTAATTGACCCCAGGGCCACTGTACTGAGACAGCCCCGATCCCAAAGTCTAAGCTGCCCAGACTGAGCTTTAACTTCCAACCCTCCTGAGATTACAGCTAAGCACTGCCACACCTGGGTATGCAATTCACTTTTAAATGAAGCTGCTTCACAATCTATCAAAATTTGAGTGTCAGGCTAACGCCTTCACTGCTGTTTAATACAACATAAGGCTGCAGGGTTTGTGGGGGACTTGGTCCCTGGAGGGAATGGGTCCTCCGAGACCTACCTGATGGACCACTTCAGGGACAGAAAAAGCCAGAAAAAGGGGAGAGATGGGACCGTGCCCCATGGGCCACACTGCCCAGGCCCTGCAGCACCGATGCCCCACCCCAGGCGTCCCTCCCTGCAAGAAGTCATGTTGTCCCCCACCCCACCACGAGGGGGGTACCTCCTGGGAGTGGTCCTGGGCAAGGAGTTCCAGAAGCTCCTCCTCAAACTTCTCGAGGGAGGGATACAGGGAGAAGAAGATGTCGTCCAGGTGCCACGTGGAGGTCTTCTGAAGGCGTGGCTTCCAGAGGGCATCACCTGCAACAGTGAGAGGGCTCTCTGAGAGGGTCCCGGGGAGCCAGTGGGATCCCACAGAGACTGAGACATGGGTGGCGGCTCCGGGACACCTCGAGCCACCGAGCCTCAGGGACAGGAACTGCACTCAACACCCAAAGTCAACCCAGACCTCGTGCTGGGCGACTCTAAGACCATGGGTTATGAAAGGCAGAACAGCACCTGTGGCCTTCAGCTCGGCTTCCTTCCCTTCAGGAAGAACAGAGCTGAAGCTGCCATTTCCCACGCTGGCACACTCGCCTGGAACCCTCTGGACGCACACGGGAACACGCACGTGGCGCTGCCACATGCGGAGACCTAGACATAGCTGGCACCACGAGAAAACAGCCTGGCCCTGACCAGAAGCGCTTCCTGAGCCCCTGAGGTCCGGGGAGAGCAGTGCCCCACGATCGAGCTCAGGGACAACCCGAGGCAGGCAGGGCCGCAGGGCTGTCAGGAAGGCAAAGCCAGCTGCTGCCCACAAACACACAGCCAGGGAACCTGCCCTCTGGCTCCCCACCTCTCCTGCTCCTGTCTGTCTCCTCCTACATTTCTTGTGATTCTTTACACATCTGGTACAAAGGTACAGAGTTTTAAAGCCAACTCTGAAGTTAAGAAAAGTAGAAGAAGAAGAGAGAACCAGTGGAGCTGGTACTCGATGCTAAGAAAAGGGCTCCCAGCCGAGCACCCACCTGACGCTGGAAGGGTTGGGCTGGGCTGGAAGGTGAGTCTGCCTCTGCCTGGCGTGCATGAGTTTCTGCAGACAGACACATGGTGCGATGTGAATGCGCAAGTGCTTGATGCCACGGAGCTCCCGAGGAACAGCAGGTAGAGTGGCAGCCTTGTTCGGAGATGGTTATGTCATGTGTATTTCCCCAGTCCTAAGTGCAGGAACCATGATGCCCACTGCCACATGTGATGGCGGAGCAAGTTCCTGAAGCATGTCCTACACCCAGCCCTCCGGTGCTGTGGTCAGACAGAGTCAGAAATGGGAGCGAGCAAAGGTACTGCCCACGGCAGACGCTGTGCCCAGGGTGGCCAGGGGCGCTCACAGCCCCGCTCAGTGGTAGCATGGTGGGTCCCTGCAGGTGGGCCGGAAGCAAAGCACCGCCCGGGAGAACGTGGGGGGTGCCCAGAGAGGGTGAGTGGGGGGAGAGGGAGGGGAAAGGAGGAGAGGAAAGCAAAGCACACAGGCAAGCCTGTTCTCCCTGCATGTGCAGCCTCCACACTCCTCCAGGTCACGGATAACAACATTCTGCAAGTTAATTTAACCCGAGCACACCAAGGCGGGTGTGACCATCCTCCACCACAGTCTCAGGGTTTCCAGCAGGAGTGCCCTGATCCGTGCTGCACTCACCAGCAGGGTGGCTGCTTCACGCAGACAGACGCCCTGCTCCGGGCCACAGCAGCACTGCTGCCACAAAAGATGTACGTTCCCGGCGGACACGGAGCTTTGGGGGACACAGGGAGCCTTCCTGGCAGAAGGGGGTGGCAGGACGCCAGGCCCACGGTGCCTGCTGAGACCTGGTGCCTCCTCCTCCCAGGCTCAGCCCCCTCCCTCTCCGACTTTGCACCCTGGGCCACCCATGTTGCCCCCATCCAAGATTTCTGCCACTCTCCTCAGGAAGCCCTACACTCCTAGGACACCCCTAAAAGCTCTCAGGACACTGAGCAGCCCCTGTGGCCACTGTCTGCTGGACATCACAGGAGGAATCGAACAACAGCGCCAGCATCTCTCACGTGGCATCCATGGCACCAGCAGTGCAGGTTTTGCCGACCCCCAGAGAGATGCCAGACAGCCTGCTTTGCAGGTGGGGACAACATGTGCCTCTTCACATGGTGCTGACCTTGAGGAATGTCCACATCTGCTCCCAAGGTGGTGCGGGGGACCCCTGCCCCTGGCTCTCGGATGTGGAAGGACCCCAGCCACCGAGCTGTACACGGCCACAGGAGAAATGAAGAAACCCACAGTTATGGATGACTGTCACACCCAGAACCACAGCCGGAGGAGAGGCCAACCCAGTGGGGCTGTGGGGAAGACAGAAGAGACACAGAGAAGAGAGGGCCACAACACAGGCCACAGCCTGGCCACAGGCAGCATAGGGAGCAGGAGGCGGGGCATAGGGCAGATGCAGCAATCGGGAGCCCACGGCCCCCAGAGCTCCATGACCTGGAGCCCCGCACGGAGCTGGCCGGAGACGCTGCAGCCATGACCGACGGAACAGGCAGAGTCCTACAGTGCAGGCGTGAGGAGCAGCCTCGCAGATGACTGCCAGGGCACAGTCACCCGAGCAGGGCCAGTGGGCCGGAAGGAGCTGAAGGAAGGAGGCAGGCTCGGGAGCCAGGCTGGTGCAACCCCAACTGCGGCCCTGGCCCTGGGTCAGGAATGCCACGCTCGGCCTCAGGCGCCACCACAGGGCGGAGAGGAGACAGTGTCCACCCGCACCATCTGTGTGAGGACCAAGTGACGAGAGTCGCTGCAGAGTCACCACGAACACTGCACCAGCAAGGGCTCAGCCTCCACTCCTAGGAGAGAGGCGCCCATGTCTGGTGCAGACTCCAAACACAAGTCCTCACCGCAGCCATCCTGCCGGACCATTTCACTCAGCACAAGAGAGCACAGGGCTCTGACATGTCTGGTGACTGCCAGGGCTCGCCCCAATAGTGCATCCCCACCTGCTTGCTGGTTGTCCCCACAGAGACTGAGACACGAGCCCGAGGCCCTTGGGAACGTGTGCAGCTGAGATTCAGCTCTTTCTGCCACTCCACGTGTGTCCCAGCATGACAGGGAAAGCACAGCAAGTCCTGGCCTCAGGCACACAAAGCACTGCCAGCAGACAGGCGAGTCGGTGCAGACCTGATCCACAGTGCTGGCAGAGAACACACTGAGGACAGGGGACTGGGGCAGAGCTTGGAGAGTGCGCGGTGACATGAGCCTTGCGTGCACGGGCCTCGGCCACGTGCAGGTGTGCCCAGACAGGCATGGGACCCTACTGCCACGGCCACAAGAAGCCTGGTGGTGCCTGAGCGCCAGGTCATTATGCTCAGTGTGCCACCCAGATACACACTGCTCACAGGACACATAATGGTGGTGGACAAAGACTGGTTTCTTGAGGAAGCATCACCTTGGTGCCACATTGCCCAGCCTCAGAGGACAACAACTGGGCAGAAGGAGCAGAGTTGCTGGACCTAGGCACAGGTCAGCAGCAGACAGACTCTTCGGCTGTCCCCAGCGAGGGCCCAGGCACTATGACCACTGTCACGACCCCGGTCTCCAGAGGAGAGGAAGCTGGTCGTGTGCCCAGGAAGCCATGGAGGAGGGCAGAGGAGAGCTCATGCAGGACACCCAGACTGAGGGTGCAGAGGCCCAGCGAGGCCCAGGGGTCGGGGCAGGCCGGCATCGCCACTCAGCAGCCTCCTCCAGGCCACGTCTTGTGCACACTGCAGCTCTGGAGAACGCCTGGGTCCCAAGCGTGGCTCAGTCACCACGCTGCTCTGAGACCTTCAGGACAGAGGGAAGAAGAGCTGGGCAGGGGCTGAGTCTTCTCTCCGTGTGTGACCAGAAAAAGATCAGAGCTTCCGGGATGCACTAGTGAAGGAGGCATGGATTTCAGCCGAATTCAAAACAGAACTTCCATTGTGAGAACAAAGCTCACACTGGCTGCGCGCACACCAAGGGCCAGGTGCTAGGGCTTAACTGATCTCCTTAACATTTTCTCCCCACACACAGGGCCGCTGGCAACCCTCTTCCGGTCCCCATTTTACAGAAGAGAAGCAAATGGCAAAGGCCTGGAGAGGTCAGACAATCTCGCGCACTCACCCCCGACCAGGAGTGAGCAGGGGACTCCTGCAGGTCTGCTGTCCTCTGCACCACGCATGGAGCCTCAAGTTACTATCTGAAATCTTCATGCAAGCAGCCGACAGCAGCAGCAAGAGCCCCGAGTCCTGCCTTGACCCTCACACTCTGGAGGGGCCGGCTCTACCTCACCTGCAGCCGAGTCCTCGGCTAAGAACGCAATTCCCAGGACCAGGCCTGTCCCTGTGTGAAACGCACCCATGCACAAGGACCATTTCATTCCTGGACTCCCGAGGGCCCGGCAGAGGGCACAGAGACTGTCGGAAAACCCTCAGTGAGCAAGAGCCTCCTCCCATCAACATCCTTTGGGAAGCACTGGGCAACATCCTGGGACGCCCAAGGAGCTGCCCTGACCCCCAGGGGGCTCCCACCAAACACAGCCTCCTGAGTTGTCCCTCATCTGCTGAGATGTTTCATTCAGCAGGACACAGGCACAAGACCAGTGCCGTGGCTGAAAGCATGACAATCGGCCTTAGCAGTGGCCTGGCAGGAAGGGGTACAAGTTATAGCCAGTCCACAATTATTCCAAAACACTGCTAGTGCTAGTGCGCCTGGTGGCTGTGGGTAAGACTTGAGGTCCGCCCCCCAGTAAGATCTACCACATACCTCCTGAGAGCGCCGTGCTGCATCTTCACAGGCAGCATGAGTCCGCTGCACACAACGCCTACTCAGTAAACATTTCTTGAATAAATCAATGAACGACTGAACATGTAGGAAATACATACCATGGCAGAGCACTTGCCTAGCATGTGCCAAGCCCCAGGTTCAATGCCCAGTACCATAAAAAAAAAATCAATCAATTAA